CATTGTCAAATTGGAATAATGTGTTTGTGACTTAGTACCACATGTTTTAATGGAGCTGGTCCACGTTATCTGCCTGTATGCTGGAGTTTAGATTCGGCTGCATTATCATATTTTACTTGTGTGGGTAGAAAAGTCAATTAAAACAATTATTCCAAGTTTTGTAAACACCTGCACTAATACAGAGTTTAAATTGGGCCCCTACATTCACTGCTTGCTGTGGTGCGCCATCGTGTGTTTTCTGGCGCAATTGCAACATAATTTCTTTTTTCTTACTTTGGATAAATGTCAACGTTGTATTCCCAAGACATTAAAGTCATGTTGCGATCACCCATGTGTTTTCAATAACCGTATTCTGTCTGATAGTTTGAGCTCCTCCCATGATGACACAATATCCCCTTCGTTTGTTTTGCAGTGACATTTGCAGATGTCTCTCACAATAATTGAGACAACAGCAGATCTTTAGAGGATTTATAGCTTCTCATTCCCGCTGTAATAAAAATGTGTTGTGCAACTTTGGTCTGTGGTTTGCTCGTGCACAGAATTGCGAAATTCTGTGCGTGACAAACAAGTTAACATCCAAACACACAGAAGATGGTTAATGGTGGTGAAAGGTTTAAGTTCATGACAGCTTTCACATTTACATTATACTGCAAATGTTAAGAAGCTTACCACACTGAGATGTCTGACATATTGCAATGATTGTGCGTACAGGTGACTCACCTGTCTACCACTAAGGGGCGCAATTGTCTGAAAGTGAGGTGATGGAGAATTATTTTTTTCCCTGATCACAACTCTGTGATACCACCTCAGTGACAGAGCAAGACATATGCACCATTTCCATAATGATCATTTATGAATCGTATTCAAAGAGATCAGGTTTCTCTACATGCACATATCAGTGATGAAATGATAAAAAAAGAGTCTGTGTTTCAGTTCTAAGCACGTCACACTGCAGACTGTAAAACTGCATGCACAGAGCAACATGGAGACACACAAACGTCTGCACAGCTTGTTCCTTGCAGTCAAAATACCTCTTTGCTTCTTGCTTGAGTGTAGAAGAAGGGATAAGATACAGATTAATTAAATGTCTACCATTGTTTTATTTTATGGATTTTGAAAAAGTCTAATATTTAATCATTATAACTGTAACTTTTTCCCTTTTGATAATTTTCACACGTGCAACACTGTCAATTACTTTCCAGACATAAATCCACAGGAATATTACTTTAAGATCATCACATTATCACATTAATCAGTAAGATTCAAATAACACCATCATCATACTCATATGGATTTATTGCTACAGTAAAATGTTCATGCAATAGCAGCCATATAGACCCTATATGCCACATGTTGTGTGACAATCCTCATTATGTTCTATAGAGGAAGTGCAGCAGTCTATCCTGTTGTATTGTTTAGAGGAGCTATATGTTTCCTCCAAAAAGAAAAGAAATGGATACTTCCTTTCATCACACACGACACTCACCTCCGACTGGAAGGCCCCGAATACAAGTCCCCCGAGCCGGCGAACATCCGCCCTGATGAGGAGCTCCTGAGTGAGATGGTGAATCTCTACACGTTTCTGTAAACAACCCTGACTCTGATTGTTTGGTGCCGATACCTCTTTGTTCTTCCACACATAAAGGACTGATAAGGAACGAGCATTATCTTTGTGAGTCTGAGTAGACTTTTGTTTTTCTGATCAAAGACGTGATATATAAGAAATTCAAAAAACAAAACTGATGTGATTAAAATGAATGAAAGAAAAATTATCTTGTAAATCTCATTGGGGATCTCTGACTGTTTATTCGCAATTTATTTTTGGTTTGCTGGAGTTTGTAGCCCATCCACATGGACAGTACAGAGTAATCCTTTTATTGTATTTATCCTTTATTTAACTAGGAAGGACCCATTGTGATACAATATGTCTTATGGAATTTCCATCCATCCAGTATCTATACCACTTATCCTTTAAGGGTCTCGGCGGAGGGCTGGAGCCAATCACTGCTGACATTTAGTGAGAGAGTACACCCTGGACAGATAACATAAAACATTATAAAACAAGGCACAGAATAGATATAGGAACATGTGGAAATCAATGGGAAAAAATAATTATGGAAAATTGAATCTAATTGAATGTTAAATGCAATGACATTGTTTGATTAAAACTGATTTTAAAAGGTTTTTATACATGACAAGACACAGTAACAATTTCAGTATCAATGTCTTCTTGAAACATTGTTCTGAAAGCTGAAATTAGCTGATCCTCAGTGGTCAGGGCAGATCAACCAGTTTTTCTGGCCAGGTTGTGTCTCTGGAGAACATTTCAAAAAGGGAAGACAGAGGAAAATGTTACAGCGGCGAACCCTGCAACCCTCAGAATTCATTTCAGTCACATAAATGTATCCAGTCTACTTATCTAAGTGGTCTACTTACCATTAAATGAGTCACCTATTCTGTCTACTGCAGGTATTAACCAGCCACCCCTGCTGACCTTCTATGAATAGATCGTAAATGAGAATACAGCACAGTGTTCCCTGCAGGTCGGTTTCCTCTCAGCTCAGCTCAAAGCAGCCACTAAGTTCATCAGGTGTATCCTTAAGAGAACACCTAAAAAAAGAGAGAGATATAAACCGCCTGCAATCATCCAAGTAAAATAGCAGCAGATTCCGCGCCAGATCCTTGTCAAAGGACAATAACAAAAACATAATTTGAAGAAATACTTATATTGAATGCTTTAATGGGGCTTACAGTCCTAAATGTAGTGTGCATTACAGGGGAAGAAAAGAATATCTAGCTAAACCAAATGCCAAGGATTACTGTCGCAGCCTCCATTCTTTTGTATTTAAGCTGCTTAACCTGCAGGGTTTAAACTACAGTGTTCACTACTGTTTTGTGCATTTCATTAATCTGTGCTTGAGAGACG